TTGACTCAGCCTTCCATCCTTCCAAAGTGGGTAAAATGAGGACCCAGATTGTTGGGGGCAATATGCTGACTAAGCAGTTTACAAACTGGTAAGAGAGGGCTATAAAGCACTGTGAAGCGGTATATAAGTCGAAGTGCTATTGCTATATGAAAGATTTTTGCAATTTCAAAAGTCTTCAGATTATCACGATGTGTGAAGTACAGAGAACAGCATAAAATACATACCCAGCTACTGTAATTTACTGACAAGTACATACTTGCCTGGCACTTGGGGATATCCTGGTAGACCTAATATTATAGAAGGCTGGATTATTCCGTTTAGGTGTTCAGCTGAACATATGGAGGATATTGTCTAAGGGATTATGGGAATAGTCCTGCAATTCTTTTCTAATCTGCATATATTTAGCTGACGCTGAAAATGAATTATATACTCATCTGTTCTCCATGAAAACTGTGACTTTGCTTTTTAGGGTCCTAGATCAAATGGAGAAATGAATTTATGCTCAAATAATCAGAATCCTGGACCTCAACAAGGATGCATTCATGGGCCTCTTTTTTACCCTTCTTAGCCATCTGTTCATTTGGCACTAATAACACTTGAATGCCAAGAACAGAACAGAAATCAATGCAAATTTTTAAAAATGTTCCAGAACAATAATATGTAACTCTGTAATTGTTTTACAGCAATCTTCCCATCTCCATCCCATTCTTTTTAATCTAGATCATGGATGTCAAACTTGCCCATTTGCGGAGCTTGGGCGGGTATGGCATCCGGCCTGCAAGCTGCTAGTTTTATACCCCGATCTAGATGAATCATGAAAATTTCAAATTCAGAACCAATGAGAAAATTGATTTGGGCTTTTCTTAAAGAAGTTGTAAATAGCTACTGCTGCTATTTGACTATTTATTTATGCCCAGGTACTGCAAAGCTCTTAGAATTAAATATTTAATGGAAGCATCACTACTTAAGGCTAAGCCAAAACAGAGAAAGTGAGATTTATTTACAAACACAAAAGATTATATAAAACAGAATTGGCTAGATATATACTGAGATTATAAGCATTTTTTTTTCTTACCAAGATTCTTCATGACACTCTATTATTACACTACAGTATACTATGGCTTGCATAATAAAGGGGTAGAAAAAAACCTTTTAAAATTTGTGTCAGTTATAATCTTGCTGTTACTTGATCCATAAACAAAATGAAACTATAATGTTACACTGGTAAATATAAACTTGTCTTATTTTTTTCCAACCAAGAAAAAACCTGTAATGCTAGCATAAAAATATGTATACATATTAGACATACCCGGCAAGGATACCACTAGATTTAATTAAATTCATTTGTCACATTAATGCCCCTAAGTATCATATGCTATGTACTCAACAGGGTAAGATTATTTAGTGCAGTACTAAGGGAGTTTAAATACTAGGAATTAATGAAATGCAACAATGAACAATTTCCGCTTTCAGTGACCCACACAATAATCTTAATTTTGCTCTACAAGATGTGATTGTAAAATAATCACAGAACTATAAATTGCTCCTTAATTGGACAGCATTCTTAAAATTTATGAATATAAAGATAAAATGTTACTTTAAATTTGTTCCTTTATTTATTCACTTGTTTGTTACCTCAATCATGGAGTCAGGGGCTCACAATAATCAGCATAAAACAAAGGATAGAAATACAAATATATCATAAAAACCATAAAATGTAGATTCCCACTTATTACTGCTCCCACTTTTAACTAGAAATCCATAACATGCATCTAGCAAAATTAGCTACCAGCTTTCAAGTTTTGTACCAACTTCTATCCAGACCATAGATAGCTTTGCAAGTATTGCAAGCATACAATTCTTATAAATCACAAGAAAAACTCATTAAGTAACACTATAACAGATTGCTCAAAACTGATAGTAGTAGATTGCTCTATACTGAAAGATTTAAGCAGCCCTGGAACACAGATGAAAGCTGATATAATATCATTCCTGATTTTCAACAGCAAGTCATAACAGTGGTACATGAACATATTATATTGGCTGACAAAAGTGCCACATAGGTTGGCAATTGTATCTATAATTCTAGATTGTTGCAGCTTACTTTTTCCATATATTGTAATCCTGAAGCCAATTTTCTGTATTCTGAAATATATTACAAAAAGACATATCTAAACCCCAGACCACTATTAAATATTAAAAAATACATGACTACTTCGAAAGCCAACTTCTAGCACCATGTGACATTTACTACTTTGGTTTCTCATCAGGTTATATAAATCTTTCACCTTACAAAATGTATCTCTTTACATCATCACACAATCCTCATGTCTAATCCTATTCCATGCAACTCGCTTCTTCCAATACTACAGTGTACAAAACCATGCCAAGAGACTGGGTTGCTTTTCAGAGTGAGATGAGTAGCATATAAATTTAATAAGAAGTAACTTTTACCACTGATTCTGGGGGAAATGGCACAGAATAATATAATTTTTTTTTTAAAAATGTTCATTATTGGCAGTCTCAAACTCTTCATAATGTATGGATTCTGTCTTAGAAGTCTATAGCTCTGAATGACACAAACTTCAGTGAGTATGGCCAGCTTCAGGCATAAACATTTATATTGATTCTTAGTTTCTCATTTGCAAACTAGAAATTATGACTGAAGAAGCTCAATATACTTAGCCTTGAGAAAACCAGGAAGAATATGAAAGTGTTTTTCAAGTATCTGAAGATGGTCACATAGAAAAAAAATCCTAACTATAACAACAATAAAGATGAAAAACAATTACCTAAAGAGGTGGTGAGTTAAATAGGGTTCAGACAGAAACTGAGTTACTGAATAACTTGAATACTACATGTTGCTCCCTTTCCCTTTTCTTCAGATTCACTGCTAAAATATTGCTGATTTTTAACAGCAACTTTAAAGTGACCATATTGATGACATGGCTATTGTACTGTTTTAAACCCTCAAAGCTGTAATTATAAAACACACACCAACCTGTTAAGCATTTGGGGACGGCCATATTAATATAAGGTACGAAACACTCATAAACTTACATGAATTCTTCAAGGCTGAATATCTTGTGTACTATAATGCTATATAGAAACACCTAGATTTAATAATCACAAATAAATAGGTTTGGTCTATAAGTCAATCATCTTCAATTTATTTTAGATTTTTGATATGTGGTAATATATATCCATAATGTCTTGTGAGATATATTTATTATAACACAGAATATATTTGAAAATGGCAATTAAATTAACCTGTAACCATCTAAATGACTCTCTATACAGGAGACCTAAGATCTAACAGAACAATAGTACAGTACTGAATCTCAGCCATTACTCATCTAAACACAGGCTTCTCCATTCCAGAGAAAAGTACTGAGAAAATAAATTCCACAAATCAATATAAAGATTTTTACACATTATGTTCAATACCACTACAAGTAAAGAAATGAAATCAGAGCATATCAAATAGGTGCTTAGCACAGATTCCATTATACCAAATAGTCTAAACTATAGGAATAAAATAAAATAAAATATATATTTTAAAAAAATACCTTCCTAGGATGTAAAGAGATAAATAAGAGCTAAAAACTCCAATAAAAAGCCTTGGCCAAAAGCCATACTACAAATGTATCTTTGTTAACTGTCCCCAAAGCTCCCTTGTTTAGCCAAAATGCAAGATATGCTATTAATCAAATGTGGGGCCACCGTTAACCTGGCCATCTCACAGTAGTACAGTAGTTAATCTCGGAGAATTTCAAAGTAATACACTAATTAATCTTGAGAATTAGCCTGCAAGCAAAGCACTCTATAAAATGTGTCATACTGGAGCCAGCATTCACACATCAAAATCTCAGGTGCAGAGACCGAAAGCATTAGGTTGCTAAGTTCCCCAGCCCAAAATCGTATGGATGTATCATCTTCAAGTCACCTAAAAGGGAAACTTCACTACAGAATACAACTATATACTTCTGAGGAAGTGTGCATAGGATGGTGTGCATAGGATGGTGGGGTCAATGTCTCCATTCCAATTTCACACCACCGCCAATCATGTGGACAGGAGTGAACTACCTTAGAAGATTGTAATATTTTTTCCTTGCCCTTTACCTAACCTTATCTACCAATAGTTTGATGGATGCATGCAAACAGCTAAGCGCTCAAAATGGGGAAACAAAATGCTAGCTGGATGCCAAAGATTATATCCCTCATTGTAGTTTAAATGCAAATTTGCTTTTATTCCTCTTCTCAGGTCTGAGGTAAAGCAGGAGGGAGGAGTCCATGGGAATGTGATGTGACCCTGTTGAAATCCCTAAAAACTTTAATTTTGTTCAAGTAAAGCCAGCTAAAACCAAGAAGGACACCAAGAACATACCCTTCAGAACTGGAAAAAAAAAGGGAGGGGGATGGAGACCTTTCCATTTATCATGGCAGTCCTCCCCCCCCCACAGCCCCCACCCAAGCTCACTGCTGCCTAGGCAGCTGACTGGGCTCGCTTTTCATTCGAATTCACCAGGCGACTTTCCTTCCCGGCCACCACCTGCCTGGGAACTGCTTGGCTTCCCTCCTTCATGGCGCTTTCTTTGCCAAGGGAAATGCCATTTCCGTTCCTCACACTCCCACCTCGGGCGGGCAGCCAGCCAAGCAAGCAAGCAAAGGCAACGCGGGGCACGGCGCCCCAGCCTCTCCCCGTTCGCCTCCTCAGCAGCCTCCCTGCCAGGGCACGCTTTGCCCCGGGGCAGCCGGAGCCTCTTTGCGGCGAAGGGGAGGAGGGGTCTAGTCGGTCCATGCCTTGGCGCGCCACCGGGCTGGTGGGAGAAACCAGCTCCGCGTCCCGACCTCTGGCTGCGCTGGAGGAAAAAAAAACAAACCAGCCGGAGCTGGCCTTACTCCCGGCGGTGGGGAGAGCTTAGGCGGCGGCTAGCCAGACCCCGTTGCCCCGCTTGGCCACCCGGCCTCGTGTCCCGCCGCCTGCTCGCTTCGCTTACCTTCCAGGGGCTCGCCCAGCTCGGCTCCTCGAGGCACGCCGGCTCCTCATACCCTCCTCACCCCGCCGGTTGCGAACCGAGGCAGCAAGCAGGGGACGCCCAGGCATTCACCCTACCCGACGCGGCTGCAGGAACCCCGTTCGCAACCAAGCAGGAAATTTCCTCCGTTCTCCCTCGCTTGCCTGCCTGCCTGCCTGCCTCTGTGTGCAGCCGAAATTCAGAGGCGGTGCCAGCGGAGCAGAGGAGCCGCCTGCTGTCGGAGAGGCGCCGTTGCAGCAGCAGCTGCAGATACTTTACCTGCTCTGCCTGAGGCACCTGGAGAACAGCAGCAGCCTTTTCGCACCTGTGTCAGGATAGCCAGGAAGAGACTGCACAGAGAGATGGAGGCAGGCCCTACTTCAAAGGCTGTCTGGAAAAGGACAGGTTTCTCTCTTATAACTAGAGGGTGTTGATATTCATCTAAAAATGCTTCCGTGCCTAATATGAAGGAGGGGATATGAAAGAGAAGAGGAGAAAGAATTATTAAAGGGAGTCCTCAACTTACAACTGATGACACCTGAGGCCAAAATTTATGTTGCTAAGTGAGAAATTAGTCAAGTGAATTTTGCCCCCTGTTACCGCTGTTCTTGCCACATTTGTTAACTGAACTTGTTAAATTAGTAACATGATTGTTAAGTGAATCGGGTTTCCCCATTGACTTTGCTCATCAATATGTTGCAAAAGGTGATCACATGACCCCAGGACACTGCAGCAGTCATAAATGTGAGTCAGTTGTCAAGCATCCAAATATAAATCATGTGACCATGGAGATGCTGCAATGGTCGTAAGTGTGGAGAAATGGTCATAAGTCACTTTTTTCAGTGTAGTTGTAACTTCGAACAGTCACTAAATGAACTGTTGTAAGTCAAGGACTACCTGTATTTTTACATTACTCTGACAGCAAGACTTTGGCTGATTTCTGACGCCAAGTCAAGTTTCCCTTGGGTAGCAGTTGGATGGGAAAAATTAAGGCCTAGCTTATTTCCTGGTGCTGACTTCATTCATGGAGTTTTCTTGACAGGAAACAGATGTCATTTGCCACGGCTTTCTTCTGAGAGGCTCATTTGACTTGACAATCCAGCTCTGGCATTTGCTCCTCAAAGTATTAACAAAATTCAGCCCCACTTAGCTTCCAAACCCAGACAAGTTGCTCTATCAGGAATTATTGACTAGACTAGGAAGGTGAAAATTATTCAGAGGAAAAAGCACTGTCAAACCGTGCATATCACCTTGAGTCATACTCAACTTCAGCTCTAGACAATAAGTGATTGTGTAAGCTATCATTCAAACCATCAGCTAGTCTATTGCTTTGATCAAAGAATCATGTACATGTATATAATAAACTTGTTTTTACAGTTCTAATGTAAACACTGTCTTTAGCCAATTTGTGTGTTTCATTTTCTGTTATTTTTCTTACATCTTTACATCCCACTGGATACGGATCATATGATCCAGAATGTTGTAAAAAAGCAATTTCCTCTTGTCTACTTATTGTATGAATTAGGCTTTCTTCTGGCCAAGATTCATGGATATAAGTTAAAAGGAAATTGGAAAGAATAATTAGGGAAACTATCTCCATGTCAAAAATTTGCTCATACACATCTTTTCAAACCCTATTAATAATGTTTTATCAAAAGCATCTTTTGATCTACAACCAACAAATTATGCTTTGATGCTCCCAGCTTAGTTCACATATTGTGCTTTGTAAATAGACTTTGTGGCCTATTTTAAAACTATGGTTACAGAAATCAGGTAATGTTTAAACCCTTTACCTGTGTGTAGATCTAAAGATACAGTAGGTTGGACTGTGCTTAGAAGTGCATAATCAGTGTTGTTCTTTCTCACAATCTAACTCTATCCTTCCACAGTTACTTAAAAATTATGGTTATTTTTAGTATGTTCTTCTCCATTCCCCACTTCAAATTTTAAAGTTACTTTGCCACTCCGTTTTTATTTCTTTTAGCTGAACAAAGTTCTCTATGTACATTTTTTTTTTCTTCATAATGAATTACTTTGTTATTTGTTTCGTGGCTAGGTCATATCCAACTCTTTGCAACCGCATGGACCAAAGTATGCCAAGCTGCCACGTTCTCCACTGTCTACTGGAGTTTTTCCAAATTCATATTCATTGTGCCAATGACACTATCTAACCATGTAATCCTCTGCCATTCCGTTCTCTGTCAACCTAAAACTAAGGAAAAATTTCTTGACAGTGAGAACAATTAACCAGTGGAATGGTTTGCTTTCAGAAGTTGTGGTGCTCCATCACTGGAGACATTTAAGAAGAGACTAGCCACTTGTCTCAAATTGTGTAGGTTCTCCTTGAGCAGGGGGTTGGACTGGAAGACCTCAAAGGTCCCTTCCAACTGTGTTATTCTGTTATTCTTTTGCCTTCAATCTTTTCCAACATCAGGGTCTTTTCCAATGATCCAACTGGTCTTTTCCAATACTTTGGCCACCAAATGAGAAAAGAGGACTCATTGGAAAAAAATATCGGACAAGAATTACTTCACAAGTAGAGAAAAGATCAATTGCTTCTTCTCATTAAGTTACTTTTTAGGGTGGATTGAAAGTGGATGGAGTATTTTCAGCAGTTGAGCTATTTCTTTATCACTGTCCCTGTAGCTTACAATCACCGTTATTAATTACTATGAGAATTAAATAAGGGTCGAAGAGATTTCTAGAAGAGTTAAGACTTCTTGGGGAGATGACAAGTTTGTTAATATCTGTTAAAGAGAAACTTAAGCCATTCTATTTCATAACTCTAGTTTTGCTTCTTGCTTTTTCTTTTTCTTTCCTATCATTTTCTTTAGATCAGCTTTTTATTTTGTGAAAAATCCTCAATAAATATACATTTAAAAACCAATACATTAATTATTAATTATATTAAATATTAACTTTTATTGTGTAATGTTTATAAATAGGTCATGGCTATAGCATGTCTTTAGACTATTCCACGAGGCACACCCATCAAAATTTGTTTTGTGTGTGCAAATATTTGGCAACAGAAAAACCAGAGACATTTAATAAATAATTTCATTAACACATTATTCATTTCATGGCCTACATTCTGATGTAGTATCATCTCAGTAAAAACACGTTTATTTTTCAGTCAATTTATCACAGTTTTGGATCTCTTTTTCTGTTCGAGAACATTACTGCCTTGCCCTCTGGCTTGAATAAATTTGATGGATTTTGCACTAATTTTATCCTACCAGATGCAAAACAAACTGGCCTACTGTTCTCCATAGGATGATTTGCAAGTATATTTAACATAATCAGAACATCATTCTCAAAAGTTCTATAAGATTTTCATGCTCATCAGCATTTTAAAAATTGCAGACTGAAGGAATCTAGTCTCTTTTTGTTGTTGTCAATAATTATTGCTAGGAAAGTTTCCAAATAATTAATTATGTTTAGGTGTAGTTTTACAGTGTTCTTATTTCACTCACAAAGAAAACTAGAATGGCTGTTATTAATTTTTTAGAAAAGATCTGGCACTCTGGCTTGCTGAAATATGCACCTGTGAATGTGTGTGTGTGTGTGAGAGAGAGAGAGAGCAGTGGTGGGCTGCAATTTTTTTAAAAACCGGTTCTCTGACCTAATAGCTGGCTGGGGGTGTGTGGCTGGGGAGGTCATGTGACTGAGTGGGTATGGCCAATTCTATGTCACTTGTGTGGGTGGTACTTGTATGGGACAGGCAGGGTTGGGGAGGGAATCCAGGGGTCTCCGGGGGGGGGGGGGGGCAGGGGGGGGTTCTAATTTTTTACTACCGGTTCTGTGGGCATGGCTTATTTTGTGGGTGTGGCTTGGAGGTCATGTGACTAGGTGGGTGTGGCTAGCTGGTCAAAGTCATTTCTGGAAGGTCCTCGCACTTACGACCAGTCCTTGCACTTACGACCCAACTCATTTGTTTGCTTTTAACACTGATCAGCTGTAGGACGGCCCTTTGAAGCCCCACGGCAAGAGTTTAAACAGTTTTTTTCCCTCTAGTCATCAGCTGGGACTCAGGAAGCAGCAATAGATTGGGGGTGGGACCAAATAAAAGGTAAGAATAACATGGGGGGTTGGGGGGAAGAACCGGTTCAGTGACATCATATCGTCACCGCTACCGGCTCGGCCGAACCGGACCAAACCGGGAGGAATCCACCACTGGGGGTGGGGGGCGGGAGGAAAGAACTTGTCCACTGCTTACATGGCCGGGCTCCCCCCGCAGACCGGGAGTTGGGGACCCTTATTTTAAGGATTCAAAAGCTTTAGCAATGTAAAACACAATGAAAACATGAGGAATGCTTGTTACTCTTCATTCATCTTTCTCCTTCAAATCTGACAATCCATACACTTTATATTACATGGGGATATATCTTTGTGCATATGTCATGAGCCCTTCAAAGAATGTGTGATGATAGTCGTGAACTGGTCTTTTTTAAATTAAGATGATGATTGAATCAGCAAAATTATTTGTTGCTATGCCAATAAAATCTATGCAAAATATTATTTTCCATCCATATGTATGATATCAACTCCTACACATACTCTGTGAGTAACTTTATTATGCATAAATGAGATTCTTTACTGCTGCATAGCATTTAATATTATGTTTTGCAAAAAAAAAAAAACCTATTTAAGTTATTCTGATTACTACTAAATTATCTAATATTTGCCTGAACATTGAAGTAAGTGATTGGAAGATGTGAAATCCACTTTGTAAGCTTTGTATCAGCCATGAACTCAAAAGATTTACTGTGGTTAATCATATGCTTTGTTTGAGCCAGTGACTTGAAAAGTCCAAAAATGTCAGAGTAGCTGTTATCTTGGCTTCCTTGATCAAATCCATCTTTTCTATTTGCTCTAATTTTGCATCTTTCTGATTTAGGCTGAGGCCTGGCACAATAGAAACCATTAGAAGTACCATATTTTTCAGAGTATAAAACACACTTTTTTCCCCCTAAAAGAGGGTGAAAATTTAGGTGCGTCTTATACACCAAATGTAGCCCCACCCACCCACTGGCCCTCACCCTTTGGCCTCTGCCTCACAGCCGTTACCTCCTTGCAAGCAAACAGCAAGAAAAAACAGCTCCTTTCAGCTTCAGCACAGCCTAATTAGCACAAGTTGATTGGATCGGCCTCCTGACTCTCAAGTAAAGCAGGCTGTTTGCTGTTTGCTGCAATGAGGCAAAATTGCTCAGAGGCAGAGGGAGATTTCTTTTTCTTCTTTTCCTCACCAAAAAAGGTAGGTGCGTTTTATACTCTGAAAAATACGGTAAGCCAGGAAGCCATAAATAAAACGATACAATCAAGTGATCAAAAACAAACTATGGTTTCATATAGCTTGCTATCCCAATACCAAATAATTCTGTAATCAAGAAAACTACAATAATAGTTAGCATAATCTAAAAATCCAGGTTCAAGGAGGAGATATTAAGAAAATATTTTCTTACATCCATAATCTTATATTTTATTAGTGATTATGTAGAATATTTTAGAATGGTAAAATATTATACCGTAGTATTCAAAAGTAAATCTCACTGTATCCAAGGAATTGATTATACTTAAAGTTTAAAGGTTTCTCCAGTCCAGTTGTGACCAATTCAAGGGGGTGGTGCTCATATTTGATTCTCAGTTAAGGGACTCTGTTTTGTCTATGAGCTGCTTCCATCATCATGTGATCAGCATGAAAGTATGGAATGCAGTCATCTTTCCTGCCAAAGCAATACCTATTTATTTACTCACATTTGCATGCTTTCAAACTGCCAGGTTGGCAGGAGCTAGGGTGAGAATGGGAGTCACCCTATTATGTGGGACTTGGGTTTCAAACCTAGATTCTCAGTTTTCCAGTTGACAAGCCCAGCATTTTAATTGATAAGCTATTGTGCCACTCAGATTATGCTTATTAAAGCAGAAAAATTAGCTATTCTTTATCACTTAAATTTCTGGACTGCTGTCTCGCTGTCTTGGCCCATTGGCTAACTTAGTCTTTTTTGAGAACGACATGTTATATACTGCTTATGTAATTATTGACTAGGTTTCAGAATATGTATGTCATCACTTTTGTGTATGTCATTTTATTTTATGTCTCAAATTTATTCAAAATTTCATTTTGAATAAGTAGGAAAAATGATGATTCAAGTGAATTTCCGAATCATACTTTTTTAGAAGCTTAGTTTAATATATAAGAATACTAATTTCATTATTAATGTTCTACATACATACATTCTAAAATGCATTAAGTCTTGCTATTCCTTTGCGCCTCTCATTTTAATAAGAAGGATTCTGCATTCCAAGAGCTGTGCAATCAATCAACATGCAAGGAAACCCAAAGGATATTTACTGAGGAATTTCCCTAGTGTGACATTATTTTTTATATTTGTATCACTACTTGTACAGTTCAATTTCTAATGATAATTGAAACTGTGGCTACCATGTATCTACAGTAGTATACTGACCACCATGTGATCAGTTTTGTCCTTTATTGAGACGCCTAAGACATGGATATCTTAGTTAAGCTACAGTTCAATCTCTCTATTGGGAATTGACCTGACAGAACTTCACAACTTAGATTTTTATGTACAACACATTCCCTTTAGAACCATCTAAGTACTGGCACTCAGTGGTTGCAGGAAGGTATACAGGGAATCCTTGTTTACTGACTGCCTTGTACAGACCACTGTTGCAGCTACAACAGTGGTGAAAAATTAACTTTGTGAGCAATGAGCAATCCTTGCATTTATGATCTTTGTAGACCTATAAAAGCCAAGAAAGCTGAAATAAAGTGGTAAGGGCAGTCATGTTTTCACTTAGCAATCACTTTGCTAAACAACCAGTTCGTCTTAAAAGAGGGTGGAGTGTATATGCCCTTCAGATCTTCCAAAATGAAGCAGTTCTTTATCTTGCCATGTGTTTTTTAAAGCCATGACCTCCCCCACCTCAAAAAATTGTAGAAATATCATGCATTCTGGGTGACACTATAAATAATTGTTTCATCATTCACCTTATGGAGATAAAGATTAACTTTTGAGGCTTCGTTTTGAAAGTCTCAGCATGTCATGAACTGAGAATTTTTCTTGTCACCATGGTAATGTTTTTACTGCAGACCAAAGTTCAGCTTTTTATTTCTTTATTACCATTACTGTTAGTACAAAGTTTATGGTGTAGGCAATGTGCTCTCATTTTTCAGGAAGAGTGGCAAAACCTTCATAGACTGGTATCCTCATCGAAAGAATTGCAGAATTCCGTATTGGTGGAGAAACCTTATTATAATTTAGGAAAACTCTCTTCTCTTTCTAACACAATGCCATCCAGGCAAAAGACCTTGATGTTCACCTCTGCTTTTTTCACCAGCCTGTGCTCTTTTGTTATTGTTTGCATTGTGCTTGCAACTAAAAACTGGGTGTCAAGTACCACTACCAATGTGAAAGAAAATCCAAATATGACACTAATAATTACATATGGACTTTTCCAAGGAGTTTGCTCAGATGTATCCCCTGGAATTAATTCAGCTCACATCGATTTTCAAGGTAAATAACAAGTGAAGGCAATAATGCTGGTCATTGACCAAAATTACTCTCTTTCTTTCTCTTTCTTTCTTTCTTTCTCTCTCTCTCTCCCTCCCTCCCTCCCTCCCTCCTATTGTTGGGAGTAGCTAGGTTTGTTAAACTTTTGACCAAGTATTCATTGTTTATACAATACTGTAAAACATTTACATTTACTTTAAAGTCTTTCACTCAGGAGGAAATTGTTGTACAATAAATAAGCTATAAAAAGTTTTTACAAGCCAAGTTTAAAAACTTGGCAATGTTACTAACTATATCAATAATAGTAGCAAAAAGTAATAATATGAATAAATGTCTTGTATATAATGTACATTATTGTAAATGTTCAGGTAATTACAAAGGTGCATTTCACTAAAGCCCTCTCTATAATTAATCTGTAGAATTCAGTCAAATGCAATGTAGCAATAGCATCGCTTGGATTGTTTTTTTAAAAGAAAATCTTGGAAGATGAAACTACAAATGGTTAATCAAATAGTTCCATATTTCTAGCTATCCAGTAGGAGTAGCAGCAGAAGAAGCAGACTCGGAATATATGAGATGAGGAAAAAATTACTCAAAAGTAAAGAATGTGAGTGTAGATAAAGCTAGGAGAAGTAAAAAAAATAAATGTTTTGTGAGATAAATAATGTTTATTTAAATAAACATTAAATAATAATGATAATAATTTTTGAATAAATAAATGCACTACTTCAACAATTAGATTATCTAGATAACTTTATAAAAAAATTACACACGTTTATGGAAGATAGTTTTTACAGCTGTTAATCAAAGTGCCATACATTGTCTCATATTACTGAGAATATACTTCTGAAGCCTAGTTGCTGTTGAATTATCAGGATCATCTCCAACTGGTTGATCACTTTGAGAACCTAATCTGTTTTCGACTAGTGGAAGCCCCAATGAAATGTAAAAAAAAAAAAAAAATAGAAATGGCAGTGATATCAAAGTCCTGCCCATTTTGTAGATGCATATGACAGTCATCTTGTCTGCCTCTGGCTGTCTTGTTATTGTCTTATTTTTTAATAAAATGTTTCAAATATCAAAATATATGGGAAAAAAACAGAAAACCTTTGTTGCTGAACAAGCATCAGTGTGAAAGAGTACCTGATCCTCATAGTTTTCAGTTCTATGCAGGGTATTTTCAGATAAAACTGTCATTTATCAATCTATATAGTGTTCCTAAAAGAGACGCAGTGGCTCAGTGGCTAAGACGTTGAGCTTGTCGATCGAAAGTTCAGACGTTCAGTGCCGCGTAATGGGGTGAGCTCCCGTTACTTGTCCCAGCTATTGCCAACTTAGCAGTTTGAAAGCACGTAAAAAAAATATGCAAGTAGAAAAATAGGAACCTCCTTTGGTGGAAAGGTAACAGTATTCCGTGCTCCTTTGGCGCTTAGTCATGCCGGCCACATGACCATGGAGATGTCTTCGGACAGCGCTGGTTCTTTGGCTTTGAAACAGAGATGAGCACTGCCCCCTAGAGTCGGGAACGACTAGCACATATGTGCAAGAGGAACCTTTACCTTTACCTTATAGTGTTCCTACTTGTGATGCTATGATGGTACTTTGATTTTAACTGTTACATTTAGTGAGGCTTTTCTATATTATATTGGCATTTCATACATTTTTTTTTTATTGAAAAAGTTTTTCAAATACAAATTTTTCCCCCTTTTCCCCCCCTCCTCCCTAACCCCCCTCACCCCCCCTTCCCCTTTGACTTCTTCATAATAAAACCCAAATTCATAACAGATTATATCATACTTTGCTTTCCACTTACTCCATCTCCATATACTGACCCTTTCTTTCTAATAAAATTATCATACCCCCCTTATACTATGCTGTAATATGCATTTCAAAGTGACATTCTATTATAACAATATCTAGTAACTCCTGATTTAACATAATGATATTATTATATCACCCAATTTAACAATTTCCGCTCGTGATCTACCCTTTTACTACCCCCCATATGATATAACATTTCAAAGCATACTTCCTCTCTAAAACTATTCAATAAATCCTAATTTAACACTTATTCAATTCAACTAATTTCCTTCCCCCCTTCATTACATACATTCAGATCTAAACATAATATCCCTTTTCTTTAAACTAAACAATCTGTAACCTATCCTATCTCCACCCACTTTCCTACAAAATTACCATAATTATTCTTAATATCTTTATTCTTCTGCCCACTCCCCTAGAAAAATATTCCCTTATGTAAATAAAATCCTAAAAGGAAAAAAAAAACTTTTTGCTTGTAATCCATATAATGTCTTCTGTAATATCCTTCAACTGGATGATAAATTCCATCACCCATATTAGGGTAACATCGCATCCTTATTCCAACAGTATTTTCAGAATCTTCAATTACCATCTGCCCCCATCAGTAACGAATATCTTCATATTGGAAAAAAGAAACAAAAAAAAGCCCCCAACAACCACCCGAGTGACTTTATAATTATATTCCGTATAATATTTATGGAGGTATCTTTTATCCAGATTATTAATTCCAACCATCGTAATAGGGTAACAACCAGATCTTCTGCGTGCCCCAATCCAGTAAATCTCTTGCCATGTAACTCGACATACACGTAATATATTTATCCGGAAATCCAAAAATCAAACAAGATGTTTCCAACCATTCAATTTAAGGCCTTTTTCACATCCCAAAATAATTCAGCACTGCAGAGATCTGCCCTTTCCTCAGGATAAAATAAACCAATACTTTGCCAATTATCTTTTCATATATTCAGTCCTCTCATAAGTAACTGGCATTACTGTTGTTTAGTTTAAAAGTTTTTATGTTTGTGAGACCTACTTCTTCTTTTCTTGACTTTTTGTGGGTTGGATCTCCATCCTAAATTCCTTTCTGTAGATTGTATATCAACTATTTGGTTTTGCTGGTGTATAACTTGATCCTGTTGGGTTTGCTTTTGTGGCTGAGATCTTTCTGGTTCTGTAAATTGTATATCAATTAATTGACTTCCATGCTGGTTTGTGGTTTGACAAATCATTGCAATAGGATCCGGAACCGCCTCTTTTATATTAAATAATCCAGCTGAGACCTCTGAAAGAGAATCCAAAAGCGGCTCATCTGTGGAGACCTCTTTAACTTGTTGTTTCTTCATTGTCTCCATCTCCTTCTGCTTTTCTTGAATTTCTGTCTCTTGTTGATTTTTAAGTACCTTATGATAAAATTCTTCCGCTTTTTCAACAGTATTTATCTGATATCTTATTCCTTGATATCTCAGTATTATACCCACTGGGACATCCCACCTGAATAGAATATTTTGTCTTCTTAACTCAGTCACCAAAAAACCAAATTTCTTTCTATCTCTTACCATCTTAGGTGGCAATTCCTTAAATATCCAGATTTTTCTCCCATTCAGTTGTAAAGTAGAATTAAAAGATTTTTGCACAATATCATTCCTTATCTCTTTATCTGTAAAGTAAATCACCACATCTCTAGGCAGTTGCCTTTGTTTTGCAATCCAGGAATTCACTCTATAAGCCTTATTAATTTTACTGAATACCTCCTCAGGGTGAACCTTTAAGATCCCAGCCAAAACTTGAGCAGATGTTTTTCTTAAATCATCACTATAATTTTCCTGTAAGCCTCTAATTCTGATCACAAATTCTGTGATTCTGTATTGCAGCATTATGACCTCTCTTTCAATTTCTTGCTTTATATTTTCTGCCTTATAAGTCTCGTGACCAGCTTCCTTTTTAGACTTTAGTTCTGAGCTATTATCTCGAATATTTATTAAGTCCTTTTCAATTCTTAGTATTTTATTGTCCAAATTGTCAATTTTCTCCATTTTAGACTCTAACAATTTAATATTTGTATCCAACTTTATAACAATTTCTGAAAAACCATTAGTCACTGTTACAATCTTTTGTTGCAAATTGTCATACTTTTGTTGTATCATTTCTTTAATTTCCTGCCTTAAATTTTCAAATTTCTGGTTCACAGTCTCATAACATTTTGCCATTTCCTCCTGAATAAATTCTTTTAAATTAAAACCATTCTGCAAAGTCTGTAGGCTCAGAGCTTGCTCAAACAGTTGTGAGTGGGGGAGCACCCCCCCCTCTTGTCTATCAGATTTCATTAGTAACGCCATCCTTCCAGCAGGCTGTTCTTTTTTACCCCCCAAACAAGATCAAGTACAAATCTCCAAGAAGAGAGGAACTTAAAATAACTCTTTTTCTTTCAAATTGTAGCCAGCAGTATATATTCCGCTATTTTGTATCTGTTATGGAAGGACTCTTAGTTTCAGCTTTCTTCTACTTCTCAAACCTCAGCGGCCATTTTAAAGCTTTTTTTTTTTTCCTCTTTCACTTTAAAATGCTTGTAAATTCATTAAGGATACTTGCGATTTAAGGTCCAAAATCCAAGTCTCATCTTTTTTAATAAGTCCATCTGTTAGTTTCGTTAGTTAATCCGGTTCCAGCGCCTAGCTCTGCAAAAAATGCAGATTGCACTCGATGCCCGGAGCGGCGGCAAGGGACAATAGGGAGCTCCAACCCCCCCGTCCCGAAGAGTTAAAAAAAGACTCTGGGGACTTCGCAGAGGGCTCTACCCAACCCCGCCTGCTCAGACTCACATTTCCATCAGGAAATGGAGTTTTTCGAGCCGCCTTTCAGATGTAAAGGCGGCTCTTTTACAGGCAACGGGGCGGCGGTCACAAAGGACCATCTGGCGGCGCCAGAAGCCAGACAGGAAGTCCCTTCATACATTATTTACAATGTAAAACAAATTGAGCATTCCTATTTATAGATTTGCTAAATAATATGCAAATGAAATTGTGATGGGCCACAGACAAGAATCACCTGTATAAAATTCAAAATAAAATCAGATAATACAATAGGGGTTTTTTTAATGATAAAGGGATAAATGTTAATTAATATGGTTTTATTCTGTTTTACTACTGCAAACCCTAAAAAAGGGTTAAGCAGTAAAACTA